TGTGTGTTAACGAATGGAAAGGCTAGCTCGCTGTACATTTTATCATGTCAGGGGCTATGCCCCAGAACCCCCCAAAAAAAAATATTGAAGAAACAATAGTTATTCTTTGATGACCGCCAATTACCCGTTATTCATATTTTTCTTTTATTAAATCCACTCTGTGCTCTTAGTTTGTCACGCGTCTTAGTACAATTATTTATGCAGCGAGGCGCTCTCGTTGTTTGGAGCTGAAGGGTTCGATTGCCGGAATGGTCCCCGTAGCTTTCGATTGTTTTGGTGTCTAGTGTTTCCTTTTATTTTTGCTACTTCTTCATGTCAGTACCGTTCATTACATGTATGTTTATTTATTGTTTACGGGGGGCTGCCTGTCTCGAAGCATGGTGTCCGCCTCGAGTTCTGGAGGTTCCGAGTTCAAGCCCCGGCAGGGGCTGGGATTTTTTCTCGTGGACGGACTTCTAGTAATTCCCCCTGGTCTCTGGGATGTGAGATCGGACACCCGTGTTCATTGTTGCGCATGTAAGAAATCCCTTCGCAGTTGAAAATCGAAAAGAGAAGCCTAACGGCGCTGCCCGGGCAAAATTTGGAGTTAAAAATCTACCTAAAGTATTTCAGGATCCTCGCCGGTGCTACATAGCCTGTGCACTGTGCTGAGCTTCTTCGGATTCAGACTTGAGTTAGAAGAAGAACGGAGCACTTATGGGTTACTACCCGTGTGCCATGATGTTGATTCGTTGTTCAAAACCTCAAACCTCCTTGTATACATCACTCCCTAACAGATCTTTTAGGTGCTTATGTTAGAAGATTTTGAGTCGATGTTAATTAAAAAAATATATGTGACTCGAAACTGTTTAGCACTTTAAAAATTAGTATAATAGAATATCGTCACCCTACCCATTCACCAATGGCATTAAACGGATCATAAACTACTTTTATGCCGGCATCTGTTACTTAGGCGTTGCGAACATGTTTCGTAATTCTGCGATAAGGAGTTTGATGCTAAATGCGAGCGGCTTGGCAGCAGACTGCCTTACGTAGGTTTTAAGAGTGACCAGTGGCAAAACTACTGAACGTAAATGTGTCTAAAAGAAACCACAACAGACAAAAAATGCTAGGGTTGCTTCTGAAACGTCCTGTAGAACAGAGGTTCTCAAACTGGGTGCCGATGCATCCTGAGGTGCCGGGAGAGTCTGCAAGGGGTGCCGCGGCAATAATTAAGAAAAGTCTGCTCGAAATTTGGAAATTTTAAAAGAAAGCATGCTGATACTTAAAAATTAAAATTTTAGTTCTTCTCTCGTCACTATTATAAATGGTTTAATATTTGTTTTACACTCAGACGTGTTTCGTACTGCATAAGGTGTCAATCGCAACGTGCTAAGTATTTGCCTTGCATTTATCTTGAGGACGACCGAGCCTCTACCTGAATTCGTTAAGGTGCCGTCGATAAGTGAGGTTGTGGTTAAATTTTGAGTACAATTTTAAGGTGGAAAATTTTATGTGGATAATGGTAACTGTTAGCCTGATCAAGTAAGCACTTATTTATATGTAATGTTTTCTTTTAGATCTATTTGTGTGTGTGTGTGTGTGTGTGTGTGCGCGCGTGTGTGTGTGTGTGATCATGCAATTTTTCATTCCAAATCAGATGTGAAGATATTGCGAGCGAGAAAATAAAGGTGAGTAAAGGCTGAACGAATGAGGAATGAAAGGCGAAATGAAAGGTTGCATTCCTTTGTGTCCCCCGTATGGGTTCCGGGGCCCTACTAGGGGAAAAAACAAGAATAGACCCACTGCCTACCCAAAAGTATGTCGTAAGAGTCGACTAATTGGGAGCTTCCTTCGAAGTCGGAGTGCATCTGCCTAAGAAGCAAGGAACCAACAGTCTGCATACAGATCTCTCAAATGGATGCACACGCAACCCTCAGGTTCTGGAACAGGACTGCAGTCCAGAAGTGGACGAACAACCAGAACTTTCCGCCGGAGTTTACAGCCTGTGAACGCGAAGAAGAAGAAGAAGATTTCTTCGTGTCATCACATTAAAGACAACTCAACAGTAAATTTGTACTTTTTTCAAAACCCAAGTATTTAATCCGCTTTAAGGGTAAGTGTACAACGAAATGTTTTTTATAGCCCAAAAAGGGTGCCACGGCGAAAAAAGTTTGAGAACCCCTGCTGTAGATATGAAAATAGTTACAGATACCGTACAGGAAGCATTGGGAACTTAGAGAAAGTAAAATTGTCTCGTGAAATCATAAGCAGAAAAATAAATAAATAAAACAGTGTAATGGTTGGTTCTGCAACGTCCTGTAAAAGATACGCACCTAACCTTTAAATACGTTTATAGTTCGCTTTCCTCCACTCCAGAACTTGACACTTTTTGTTGGCCCTGTTTGTGTCAAGCAATGTGGCACTGAAAGTACGGCCTCTTAAAACTATTTCGCATACGCTCAAGAAATAATTTTGAGGCCGTACTTTCAGCTCCAATCGGACACATAAGGGACACTTTTACCCCATTAGACAATGATTTGTCAGGGTTTCTCAACGTTCTTGGCAGAATCAATCGAACAAAGCCAATAACCGTTGAAGCCAAAAAGTGTGTAACGATTTAATTTAACGGCTTTTTTTTTTTTTTAAACAAGGACTCAGCTTTGTTTTGAGCCAACTGCACATTTCGCTAGCAAATTCATTTTTTTTTAAATTCACCTCTAGTATCGCATCCTGCAATATTGACACCCAGTGATTCACGGAGAGATAGAGAGATAAACAACACATTACAAATTAGAATCGTTAAATATTAGGTACTCTGAACCCATCTGCTGAATGTTAAATTAAGAATCGACATCACAGCACTCGGGATACTTCCATAAGCACTCCGTCCCCATCTTCAGCAACAAGGTTCCGGTCAAAATGGACGCTAGGCACGGCCACTGTTTTGAGCCGTGGCAAATGTTTTGATTCTGTCAGACGGTGGCTATTGCGTTTTTTCTCCATTCGTAGACCAGCTTCTGATTTGAGTGCATTGCGTGAGCTGCGGATTTCATTTGGAATGTTTTTCGACTGTGATCAACGTGGTGGTGTGAATTGTAGATTCAGAAAATGGCTCGATGCCAGTTGTCGCAATATCGGTGGTGTCATTATGTGATTAAAATTGATCGCGTGTGCAACTGCTGATCTGTTGGTGACTTCTGCTAGTGCTACCATCCATGATGAACTGCATTTCTAATATCGGACTGTTTTTGTTAGCACTTCGGATGGCTACCGTATGCTTTTAATGCGTGTGTATGCTAGAGTATATGCTAGACAGCAGTCTGTCAATCTTTCCAAAAGGGACTTCAATAAATATTATGTGTGTTTTTCGTTGGCACAGGAGCGGAGCAACCATGAGGTGACCCGTTTGCTATGAAGCTGAAACTAAGATTACCAGATTACTAGATAACCAGCAAATGAAGATTGTACTAGTAACTGTTTGATTGTATGTACGTCTCCACCTTCCGTTGAGTGTCGGCAAAATCCCCTCTTGCTGGTGCCATGGGAATTGGAGCTCTTCGCTTGCTGCTGAAAATTGGGACGAAGCGCTTATTCAACATTCAACAGATAACAGATAACTGCTCACTGTATCTGATTTGCAAGTTTACAGTCTTGTATCTCGTTACGTATCTTGTGTAACTCCTTCAGACATGAACACTTGATACTTTCGAGGATATCCTGTTAGAATATAACAGGTTAAGGTAACATATTGCCTGCTATTGAAAGAGTTAACATTCCTTGTGGGTTGCTTAAATCCTGCCTTGTGTCTCAATGTCCTGTGTCTAACGTCTTGTTAGTCCACCCCCGGTCTCGTCTTCTATGAATATTATTTTAATGTAAGGGATCCTATCCACGCCAGCGGCACAATGGTGGCTTTCTTTTTAGCCGATCACAAATGACGTCACGGGACAGTCCAAAATGTTAGAGGTGGTAAGAAAGTGTTTTCCGTGTTTTCTGTGCGTTAGGGTGTTTTTTGCAAAGCCAAGGTTTAGGAGGGTTAACCCAACCCTAACCCTAACTGTAACCCTAATCCTAACTCTAACTTTAATCCACCAACCCCTGAAATATTGGACTGTCCCATGAACTATGAAATAGGTACTGTTGCATAAATATAAATGCTGTCTCGTTGTATTAAATTTGTTTTTATTTCTTGCAGGATTGACGTGACAAGTGCCTCACACGACTAAATCTACGCATTTCCTGGCTGAAGATATCCAAAGATTATTCACCTATTCATTGCAACGTGTTATACAACGAGCGGGTTCTGATGCACTCGCAAGAATCAAACTTTTTAGTATTAAGTAAGCGTAACAATAAATGACCTGCAAGATGGAAAACCCTTGTCAAATTTATTCGACAATTTCCCTTGCAGATAGACCAGCTTAAACCATCTTGAACGAGTACAACACGTGATACTGTTGTTTGTATCATAGTAAGGCACAATAGGCTGACACATATTACAATTAGTCTTGTCACTGCTGTGCATTTATATTTGAGAGTTTGAAACATGCTCTATTATTTCAGGCCAACCTTGACCTATAAACGAATATATACATAATTATTTAGAAGTATAAGCGTGTTCTTTTTCACTGAGACATATTCCAGAAAAACCTCTGAAGTAGAAATTTACTTGGAAAAAGATAAATTAGGCAGATAATGAATGACTAATTAAACTAAAACAATTTATGTATTTGATGTATTTGAAACCATTGCAGATGGTTGCAGAGAAATAGGGAGCGCCACAATTTTATGGCCTTTTCTCGTGTATTACCCCCAAAAGTTTCCGCTTGAAGCGTGGTTGGCCTGCGATGGACAAAGCCATATAATTTATATTTCTGGTGTTTTTGTTTTGTGTCCTGTTGAAGTTTGAGAGGAGTAGGTCAGTTTAAAGTGATATTGTAACAAAAGCCACACAGTCTACACCATTTTAACAAAGTGTTTCTAAAAGTAGCAATTTCTTAGCTTTCGTTGCAGTCGACATGGCTGTTAACCAGTCTGATCATGCGAACAATCAATTTGACTTTATAGACAATCAAACACGAATCGCGTATTCAGCCATCTTGGATGCACAAACAAAGCTAATGCCGGCCATATGTCTGCTGGGATTCGCCACCAATTTCTTATCTCTGCTGGTGTTTCTTCAGCCGAGCCTGAGACGACTATCCTGCAGTGTGTATCTCGCAGTCAAAGCCATTAGTGACTTCCTGTTCCTTCTAACGGTCTTCATCATTTGGCTGTCCCGTGTAGAGTTAGAGGTTTTTGACACAACAGGGATATGCCAGATTGTAGTTTTCGTATCTTATTACGCAGCATTTGTTTCCATTTGGCTTGCTGTGACCCTGACCATAGAGAACCTATTGTGTGTTATTAAACCTTGGTACGTTCAGAGAACTTGCAATACATACTCTGCTGCTATTATTACATTCGTTATTGGAGTACTGGGAATATTGCTGTATCATTTTTCATTGTGGAACAACGGCGTACGCTCAATATACACCAACCCTGGTGCACTACAAAACGTTACAAATATCAGTAGAACTGCAGACAACAACGAATTTGTTGTAACAGCTGGGGATCTGAATTTTAGAGATCAACGTGGTTTAGGAATATCTGCAAATGGAACAAAAAACAGCACAAGTGACAACATGATGAAGAGTCTCTTAAATATAGAAGCTGTAGAAATCTGCATGCAGTTAGAGGAATTCAACCAGTTTATCGAGGCCACAACGTATATTGATTCTTTGATGACATTATTTGTGCCTCTGATCATTCTTGCAGTTACCAACGCTCTCATTGTTATCTTGGCTGTGCGAAGCACCCGGCGTCGTATTCGCCTCTCCCAGCAAAAAGGGCAGTATCAATTACCAGGAACACATCTAGCCAATCACAGACACTCATCAGCCTCCTTAGAAACTCAAGCCAGCCGGTTCCTGTTTGCTGTTTCCATGACAACGTTGCTGTTTCACTTACCAAGTCACATGGTGCGATTGAAATCGTTGGTGTTGTCTTTCACAGCCATGGATGTACTTCTGCAGAGAATCTTTGAGACTTTGTACTACACCCACTACGCCATTGGGCTGTTCGTGTATCTCATCTTCGGAATCAACTTTAGAAAGGTGTTCTTTGAGCTTGTCTGTAGGAAACCAGTCCACTAACTAGATTACCTCATCCTCCTTCTTCTTTTGCTTAGTGGCTACAGTTCAAAAGCAATCGGAAACATTAACACTTAGTGGCGTCTTCTAAGGCAGCAACATATTTGCTCGGTCTATAGCACAGCTGTAGTAGATAAGACCACAAGACCTGTCTTCATCTCAGTGACCAACCTATCTTTGGGTAGCATTAAGTTCTGTTGAGGTAGGGGGTTGCGTGGTCTCGGGGAATTATGTCCGTCTCGAGTGCTGGAGGTTCCGGGTTCAATCCCCGGAAAGGGCTAAGATTTTTTCACGTCGACTCGTACTTCTAGTAATTCCCCCTGGTATCTGGGTAGTGAGATAGGTGTGCCGGTGTACATTTTTGTGCATAACAAATCCCTTAACAGTTGAAAATCGAAAAAGTAACCTAACGGCGCTGTCCGGGCAAAATTTTGAGTTAAAAATCTACCCAAAATATTTCAGGATCCTCGCCGATGCTGCATAGCCTGTGCACTGTGTTGAGCTTCTTCAGACTCAGACTTGAGTTAGAAGAAGAACGGAGCACTTATGGGTTACTACCCGTGTGCCATGATATTGATCCGTTGTTCAAACCTCAAACCTCAGTTCCGTTGAAGGCTAAAGTCTACACCATGACATATCTCACTTGTCTGGTGAATGTCAATGAAACGGCCACTTATTAAAATTGACTTTATGTAGTCTATCTCTAAGAATTATCCTTTTCACTTTAATAATTTTTAAAAAACTATAATTGCCCTTATACCCGTGTGGTTTCAGGGATTCCATTTTATTTGGCTGTGGAGGGGGAGGGTGAAGGGTGGAGAGTGGATAATAGACCGACTTCGCTATAAAAAGAAGGACGTAAAGGTCGACTAATTAAGGATGCTAAAATCAGATATAAATCACGATACAACGTGACAATCGCATTTGTAAGGTTGAGCCCAGAAAAAAAAGTAAAAAATAAATAAAAATAGTAATTACCGTTAGTTTAGATTGAACATAGACCCATTACTGCAGGGCTTTAAATTTGTGTGTGTATTTTAACATCAGCGTGGTTCAAATTAGAATGCTCAAACATCAGATCGAGCAAACCGGTGAGGGATTTATCGTGATCTGTGGAGATACATGAGCGCCTATTCAAGTTGGCTGGGCAATGTTGATGATGATGATTAAAAGTAATAGAAGAAGTAAAAGCAACAGGGTGATCCTACCAGCGGTCAAACCTGAATCCACTGGGCAAGCCAACTTCCTTCTTGTTTGGGTTCCGGTGCCCCATTTTGACGGAAGGGGGAGGGGGGGGGGTGACACCACTGAAATCATTACAATTCGCATGGAAAAGAATTTAAACGCTGGTTCACCAGCCAGTTGGACATGAACTGGCCATTTCGACACTCCAGCATGTATTTAGCAACTGAGCACATTTATCTAAGCCACAAGTAATATGTTGAAAATTGATAAATGTTTTAAGATTTTCTCCTTCATCGTGTAAGATATGGAAACTGTGGGGGTTAGTGGGGGGGGGATGAGAGTGGAGAGAGATAGAGAGAGAGAGAGAGAGAGAGAGAGAGAGAGAGAGAGAGAGAGAGAGAGAGAGAGAGAGAGAGAGAGAGAGAGAGAGAGAGAGAGAGAGAGAGAAGAGATGCTGTTAGAAAAAAAAGTAGGTTAATTGAGAATAGGCTAAAACCTGACATGACAGCGTGAATTGCGCAAACATTGCATTATAACTGTCAACCGCAACACGACGTGATAACCACCATACTAAGGACAAATACAGAAAAATAAGTATGGAATCTGCGATGTTGTCTCTAGTTGAAACTTCACTGTCTGCTGTTATTCACTCAGCGACCCGTAAAGTCTGGATTGCACCGATGTTTCTCTTGTCCAAAAGTTTTGCCTTAATATGTTGTCTGAAAATCACAGGTATGACTTCCAATCTAGTGGTATGGTGGTCGAATGGCCATCAACCCAGGAGAAGATGCCAAGTGAAGGGATTCATACTAAAAGCCGACATTCTGCCTTTCTTTTCTGGTTCGGCTCATAAGTCTAGTGATGGATATCCAAAAGACTCGCAATGAGCCATCGCGCTAAGCAGCTGTAGGGACGGTAGACCAGAGGAGAAATCTATGACTTTTGGCACGAAAAGTGGGTCGCAGATTGACCTAGCCTTAAAAGGGTACCAGGACATTTTCTGGGAACTAATGATGGCTGCTGAAAGGTTAATCGATTACCGATGAAAATACAGAGCTTGTCTCTTATATACAACCCTTCGTAAGACGTGGAAAGGGGTTGTTTACAAGTAAATCCCAGGAGAACAATTGCATTGTGCTGGTTTGAACTGAGCTGAATTAAGAATCGCTATCTTCAAAGGTAAACGTAAAGGTAAAGGTAAGAAGATCGACTTCATTGCACTACGTTTTATCTCATATGGCTCAGTCTCCCTCCGCCTAACAGCTAGCTACCTGCTGAGACCCTCGCACATAGCAAGACTTCTGTAGCTCCAGGGACATCCAATGGAATATCCGTAAAAATTCTACACGTGAACTGAACAGCATCGCCGTGAATTGAACCCACGACCTTCAGAGGGCGAGGCAAATGACGTGCCACTTCGTCACAAAGACCCCCGCTATCTCCGAAATCAGCGAAAAGTTGGAAATATGATGGTACTAGTAACAGCGTGATTGTATGTACGTATTGCATTTCATTTGAGTTTTGTTGAGTGTCGAGAGAGCCGCTGCGGTCTAGCGGCTAGACGCTCGCCTGCGGATCGAACCCTCGCGGGTTCGGTTGCTGACTAGCGCCGGATTTTGTTCAAAAATGACCCCTGGCTCCCAGGTCGAAGCTGCCTTGCGTTGGTACTAGGTACAGTCGTGGGAAAGTAAAAGCAGCCGGTGTGATGCTGACCACATCACCCATCAAGTGCCGTTTGGTCATAGGTCTAGCCCTATATACCCAATACATATAAAAGGCGTGGAAGAATGTCCTTTACTTTTTACTTTTGTTGTTGAGTGTCGGCTAGGTCAATCTGGGGGGGGGGGGGGGGGGGGGGTGGGGTTATAGGTTTGCTGACCAATATACACGAATGTTAGATTACCTTTGACGGCCAGAGTAACTAACAACGATTGCTTGGAAGAAGCTAATAAAAGTAGACCTCCATATAAAACAATAAGAAAGAGACAAACACTGTTCTTTGGCCACATAATGAGAAGAGAGACATTGGAGAACATCGTGACAACTGGAAAGATCAGTGGAAAAAAGGTGTAGAGGCAGACCAAAAGAGATGATGCTGGAAGGGCTGAAACGATGGCATGGAGGGATATCAAGAGAGATGTTCCAGGCAACCAAGGATCGTGATGTGTGGAGACGCATGAGCGCCTACGCCAGTTGGCAGGGCACATGGTGATGATGATGATGGCTAATATGTTAATGTCATGTTCTGTTCCGTGGTCGTAAATATTTGAATAAATGTGCTTCATGGTGATTTCAATGTTTTGCTTTCTTCTTTTTTACTGATGATTTTCTCCCTGTCCTTCCTTTCGCGAATGCTGGTGATTAATTTTTTTCCCTTGCACACTTATTTTACTTTACTTTTCTGAGTGTATGTCTTCGCTTCTTCTATTCCTCTATTCGCTTTCCTTATGTTCAACGATCAGTTACGAGCACTTATTCTTTTTGCTTTTCTTTTGGAGTATCTGTGTTCATCTCCACCATTGGCGGTTCCCATCACGGAGGAAAAAGGAGGAGATCTGGACGTCGAACCAGCTCCTGCACCCTGCACAGTTTAACAAAACAAGCAAAACAACAACAAGAACAACAACAAAACAATAGCATGCCGTCGTCTCTATGAATAGTTCCCACTACGCTGGGCCGATCTTTCTTGAGCATCTGTCTCTGCAGCTTCCAAATTGTTTCCAATGTCTTTTCGCCCCCAATATGCTCAAAAAAAAAAAAAAAAAAGCTCCTATTTTTTTCCCCCTCTGCTGCACAGCGCTTAAAAACCTCTATGAAATCTTTCTTATATCTTTCGTTATCAGCTGGGAGCTGCGTGGTCTCGAGGCATCGTGTCCGCCTCGAGTGTTAGAGGTTCCGGGTTGAATCCCCGGTAAGAGCTGGGATTTTTCATGTGGATTTGGACTTCTAGTAATTTCCCTTGGTCTCTGGGTAGTGAGATCGGACTCCCGTGTGCATTGTTGCGCACGTAAAAAATTCCTTGGCAGTTGGAAATCGAAAAGATTTGCTTAAAGGCAACATTTGGAATAAAAAAATATATCCAAAGCATTTCAGGATCCTCGCTGGTACTACAGAGCCTTTGCTTTGTGCTGAGCTTCTTCGGACTCAGACTTGAGTTAGAAGAAGAACGATAACTTATGGGTTACTACCCGTGTCCCATGATGTTGATCCGTTGTTCAAACTTAAAACTTCGTTATCAGTTCATACATAATTTATACACGTAAAAGTCAATATTAGACTAAGTATGACGCGTGGTTTGTACATTTGACTTTTTGAAGAAACTTACCCAGTACTCAGATCAAAAGCAGGTCTGACTGAAAGGTGCGGGACAGAGCTCTTCTGCGTCTGCCCGCATGCGGTTATTTCGGTTCTTTTAAACTAAACACAAATGATACAGTTGAAGACCGATAAATATATATATATGTGTGGAAATACCTGATCGTTCATGTCAATCGGCAAAGCACTTGAAAGTGATGGTGGCGTTTGCAGCGATTGTAGTACAAGCTGAGGTCTCCCATAGGACGCTATTTTATAATAAATAAACAGCACAATGTAGTTGTGCAAGAAGTTTATTTCGTTTGCTGATTTCCCAATAGTCTGCGTGTTACACATGTGTGAAAATTCCTTTTTATTAGTCGCACGTGTCCTAGTATTTGTTGAAGTACTGATTTGAGATCCGATAATAAAATAACAGTGGGAAATGTGCTTTCCTAAAATGTTTACTTCGATTGGACTTTTCAGTAAGATGCCAGGATGTAGCTTCTTCACATGGTTAGTTC